GTTGAACCAAGGCAATGACTGACCCAACACACCCCACAAGGCATTAGTCATTGCATATTGTGCAGCAGTATTTCTCTCTTTTTCTATGTCAAATTTTGACTTAAATCCCTTTTCTCACTGAGAATGTTCCAACAATTCATCATAGCTCTCTCTGTTTCAGTCACCCTTTCTCCCCTTTCACTCTCACCCAGTTCCTTTGGTTTCTTAATACCACTTTCTTATCTTTTGGATGTTTCAGTTTTTCCTTTTCATCAGTTCTTCAAACTCAGCCATGTGTATGTATGGGACAAAAACATTTAGTTTAATCATGTGTAATAACTTCAACCTGTTTATCTGTATCCAGCCTGTCCTTCGCACACCCATCCTCTCTCTCTTTAATGCGTTTTAATGGAACTACATTCTTTCACTTCACTCCAGCCCAGGCAGTTAACGAACCAGACCAACGAGAATACACAACTGATCTCTTTCACAGTTTTGCTCAGCACACACCCACCCTACACTCTCTCATTGCTCTCTCTCTCTTGCCTTGTCACTGTTTGTAATGGAGTAGAGATGGGTTAAAATGTTGCATAAGTAAGTGTTAATGCAAGTCAAAGAATAACACATTGTAAAAAAATATATCTAAAATTCTGTGTAAGTTCTTTGCTGGATTTTTTCCCCTGTTTCTTAAGGGCATAAATTTCAGATACTGTTTATCTGTGGTAGATCATTTCTTTTCATAAGAAAGTGGAAGGACTGCCACTTCTCTTGTCCTTTATTTGTCCAGTTTCCTCGAATGTTTTAAGGAAACACTGCACGCCATGCTGAGATACCACCTTTTGGTGTAAATATAATATTTATTCCCCCTTACACTGTATTATCTTCGCCATTTTTCCAGACATTCAGCTAAAGAAATGAGGACAAATAATGTGGCTAAAGATAGATTTCTGAATTGGTTCGTTGCTAAGTTGTCTGTTATGTATAGACACAACACTGGTTTATCCCTTGTGTTAAGTGCGTTTTTTATGCTTGAATGATTCATCGGTTAGTGTTGAGTGGCTTAACAAACAAAGAAACATTTATCCAAAAATGGTCAGGTACAATGACTGGAGTGAAATTGAGTGAAAAGGCAGCCAATGTTCAAATACAAACACTCAAAGATTGACTTTTTAAAAAGAAAGGCTCCTTGTAAGCAAAGAAAGAAATGAAGGGTACTTTAAGACCTTTGCACAGGACTGTATGAGGAGACATTTTATTTAAAATTTATTTAAATTCCTTGTAAATGCACATTTGGATATCTGTTACAGAGAAACTTATCTAGCCATTAGATTATGGTAACTTAATTGCTGTTGACGTGGCCTTCACAGTACCTTTAGCTACATGCCAGTAACACGTTACAGTTGCTTACTACCCACAACACTTACATCACAAACAGGTTAGCCACATTAATTAAAGGGAATGGCTTTAAGAGAAATGTATCCTGTATCTATGGTTTCAGTTTCTCTAGTCAACTCACTGCTAGTGCAAGAAACCTAACTTTCTCATTAACTTTATGGGAAATGTTTATTTTGTTTTCTTCAAACTGAAAAAAGATATTATGGAAAGCATTTCTTAAACACTAACTAGGAAGTCTAATAAGGACGTGCAAGTACAAATTATTTTTTTCAAGACATCAAATTAAAGAAAGAAAAAATGGTTTTCAGCAAATTATATAAAGATTAATAAGGATATATATATACTTTTCATCAGTGCTTTCTAATCCTGAACACATTAGCACTAAGGCTACATTCACATCACATGCTGATGTGGCCTGAATCGAGATTTTATAGCTCCAAATGGCTGTGGGAACTAATAAATTACACATCAGAAGTGGTTCACTTGGATACAGTTTCCTAGAACGTACTGCACAAGAGATTTACTAAAAACAAATTAAATTAAAAAAAAAAAAAAAAAAAAAGAATA